AAGTTTATTTTTTGAGTGAGCATTTGGTCTGGAGTATGTATGTGTCATGGGCGAAATAGTAGTATCACGGGTAATAGCGGTGGCCTAATCTGTATTGCATTTTAATAGCGGTGGCGTAATCGGTATTGCATTTTATTCAAAATCCTAATAGGGATACGAACGCAATAAAAATAATTATTATTATTACTTAACGATGGTTTTGTCAATAATGGCGGTATCCAGTTGAGAAATTGGGGTATCAAATGAAGGCGACGTGATTGTTAAATTATGGTATTGCAGATAATAATAGAATCATGGGTAAGGGCACCGTCCCTCAATGGTGTTGAGGGACGGTGGTAAGGGCACCGTCCCTCAATGGTGTTGAGGGACGGTGGTAAGGGCACCGTCCCTCAATGGTGTTGAGGGACGGTGGTAAGGGCACCGTCCCTCAATGGTGTTGAGGGACGGTGGTAAGGGTGGCTATATTTCGTCTGTATACCACCGTTTCGCAATCAAGTCATAATGTGACCTTAATTGATTGCCTTAATTGTTTGGACTGAAGCCAAGACTAAGTAGCGGCTTGTGCTGACCAATTTGTAAAATAATTTTTGAAACCATCGAAGATTCCTGAATCAAGCTGAAAATATGGACGTTTCAACAATCTTATGTACCTTACTAACCGTCCATGACCTTGTAATTGACAACCATAGTGTGTCTCACCCCAATTTGGACAACAATGTGAGTTCACAGCATACCAAGTTTTAGTAACTCTCAGCCACTGTGCTCTCAGCACTCTGATCCCGGTACAGGTACGTCATGAATTTATCGTGACAGTTTTTTAGTTTTGTCTAAATAGGAATATGAAATTATATAAAACGTTTGTTTAAACGTTCGCTTTCACTTTGTGTGCCATGGGGTATCTAACATCCCCACTAGGTAAGTTCACTAGGTGGCTACAACTTGAATATAAACACTACAGCAACACTGGGAGGTTGTCCCACCCACAACGTCTTCACGTTGGACGTTCGATTCGTTCCTAATAACTTTCGGCCCAACTCGATTCTTCCGATTTATTATGTTAGCTCGATACTAACTCGTCCAAAATGTGCAACAAAATCCGAACAACAAACTAATCGTCTAATCGTGGTCATGCACTCATCGTGCATTCAACATCAGCCAAGCAACCCAAAATTCAACATCACCCGAAGGCTGAACCCCAGTCGTTTGTTGTATAACCCTTTTCTACCTCCCTGATTACACTTTGTAATACGTTAATACGTCAATCGTAAAATCAAGTTATTTAATATTTCATGATTATACTATAATTAATTAGTACGTCAAAAAATGGTAACCATGGTAAAAGTTGAGTGAATACAAATACTGTTGTAAGAACATGTTGGACTTTCCATTTGTATTTTATTTGCATCAAGCTTGAACTCTCTTGCTACCAGTATATAAACGAAGTCGCGTGCAGACGACATTACTTTTTCTTCTAGTTTGTTAAAAATACAAGGCCTATACCATGCTCATGTAAGGAGAAATTGACAACTCCCTGTACAAGATCGTAATGCTGAACAATGAAACTAAAGTGTCTTGGGACGAATCGACCGTGAATCGTCTTCACTGGGTACTGGCAGAGCAAACCTACAAGCGAAACATGCAGAGGCGGCGGCACTAAATTTTGCTTAGGGGAGGGGGGAGGGGGGGTTGCCCACCAACATCGCCAAAGGCGCGATCTCCCCAAAGGGTTAAGGGGCATGCTCCCCCTTAAAAATTGTGTAATCTAGACCCTCTGAAACGTTATTTTCTGCATTTTGAGGGACAAATTTGGCTGACACAAAGGGTTTCAGCTTGATTTTGGAGGGGCGTCGCCCCCTACATTTTCCTGATGGGCAACTGCCCCCGTGCCGCCCTATGGACATGTTTATGGTTTCTCTTGTACGTCCATGGGTTTCTGTTCTAATCTTAAAAATTCAAGCTACAATATGTGGGCTATACGTGAATACTTTCAAATCGAGCAGTTCGATATCGGTTGTACAAGTTGTCTTGGATACGCCATGTCCACAACTGTAAATGTTGACAGTAAGTCAACACATCGTCATCGGTTTATAGTAATTTATGTTCTGTGTAATTTGGGTCAACATGGCGACATTCACCGAACCCAACACAATAGAGGCGCAATTGCAATGTAAAGGAAATCTAAAGCCACTGTACTTTCGTGTTGTTGCTATAAATATCCATAGGTAGTTATAGTAACGTAGTCATGTGACATATGTGTAAAATGAAATGAATCACATGTGTTTGATAACTGTGTAAACATCGGTTACTCACTGTCTCGTTTAATAATGGTAAGTACACAAATGACCACCTCAACAACGGGAAAAAATCAATCGTGTTTATGACCGTAATTAAGCATTTGCGGATCAACCTATGCGCTCGAGTTCAACCGCCTCCACCACGACGTGGGGTCAATATTTGGCTAAATGAAAGTGAGGCTGTGACCAGCAATTTCCATTAATATACGAAACATTTGCACATTGACCACTGTATCCTTCATATCCAGAGACACGGCCATTGACGTTATACTGTATTGCCTGGAAGTGGACTACCTGTGACTTCACAAAATGACGGTACGTCTTTTTGTTATTACCATTTATACATGCTTCCTTCATGTCGTTTGGAAACGCAGTTCACATAACCCCTCAATCTAAGACCCTGAAATATGCACATAATTGTATCTAATTTTATAATCAAGTGTCATTCCATTTGCCTTCGGTGACAATATTTTCATTGCAACTGGCCTTTAACAACAGACTTTCAGAGTCATGGTTACTACGCACGTTTCCCTGTGTTACAGCGTGTCGTTACTTGAAAATGTAATATAGACGAAAAATGCGTATTTTAATAACCTTGTTAAATACAGCATATTTAGCGTCCGTTGAAAAATGAAAAGCATTGCGTAGTGATTGTCAATTAGGCATCAACACAATCGGCGCACATTTGTGATAAAGAATTTCATTTTTCTATCGTGTGCTACAAGGATAACGTTGTCAGTTCATGATAAACCATCAACATACAAAAGATTATTCACATTAACTAAAATTAGCGATGAATCTAACACTATAGAATTCAAAACCAAATTCAAACAAGTTTACTATAATAAAGTCTGGTTGCCAACGGTATTTAAACCAGAAAAGAATAAGCTACGTACTTTTAACAAGTTTAAACAAAATTTTGAATTTGAACCATATTTAGAACAAATCAAAAATGTGCAACACAGGGTCAGCTTCACTAAGTTTCGCATTTCTTCTCACGCATTGCCAATTGAAAAACTTAGATATAATAAAACACCTCCAGAGCAAAGGTTTTGTTTTCTATGTAATGAACAGGCTATTGGGGATGAATTTCATGTATTACTCACATGTAAAAATAGTCAGATTGTACAAGCTCGTACTAAATTTGAAGCTGAATTAGCAATTTATGATGATAACATTTGCAAGTTATCAACTCATGAGAAATTCAAGTGCTTGCTAGGCACTAAAGATAGCTTCATTGTCAATTGCTTGGGAAAATTTATTGATTTTATTTCTAAGCTTTAGTTTAGTCTATTGTTTTATTTGTGTTTTTCTTGACCATTGATTTATTGTATGTTTTTTTCATTCATGCTAAATTTTGTGTCAAATAAAATATCTATCTATCTATCTATCTATCTATCTATCTATCTACAAAATCAAACAGTAGTATTTCACATTACATGTTTTCATTCATATTGCATTATCAAATCAAGAACAAAATAACAGGAACTTGAGAGATGAATGTTTGACAATCAGCTGCCTGGTTTGACATAGGCCCGTGAGACGAGTGGTATATCCGTTATAATCATTATATGTTAATTTAAAGCCCCTCTGTTAAGATCTGCATGTCAACACGGTCATAGATTTACTTAATAAAAATCATAAACTCACTATAATAGAGAGACAGGTGAAGCAATGAGTACGAAAACATTCCATGCGCACTTCACATGAACTAACACGTCATTCGGCGGTCGTTTTGAATGTGAAACAGGTGAGTTACTCGTGTGGTTGAATCACGAGACCTGTTTTCTGGATCATATTTTGATTTATTTTCACTGACATTTATAATATCTCAATATTTAGACGAAAGTTTGTATGACAAAATAATAACTTGAAGTTCAAACATACAAACAAGAATCAAATGTTAGATGTCCCTTTGAAATAATTATTAGAATAATCATTAAATATTCTAAAATATGCAAATAAAAGTTAAGTTCAAAATGTCCCATTATAAAGAAACAAACATCTGTTTGGAAACAATGAACTGTTGAATATCATATTTTTTTCATTAAGTTGGTTATGTACACTGATAGCAAATGTAACAAGACGCAAAATAAATGATCTCGCTGAAAGTTGCTACCAAACAAATTAAACAAAATGGAACGGAACAAAACTATGTTGTCATAGTTGCCACAAAAACATACTTGGCAGGCAGCAGACCCTGAATGACCTCATTTGCACATATTTGATGGAATCCAAGGAGGACGCTGGTATCAAGTAAATAGTCACACCCCCCCCATCTCTGTAAAGAGGAAGATTGGAATTCACAGTATACAGTATTCACAGCAAAGGAAGGCCAACATTTCCTCAAATGCCACTCAACTGTAGAATTTTCCCCTCTAAAAGGTAATATTAGTTGTGGTCAACATAAACACACCCCACTATTTATTATATATGAGCACATCATTTTGAGAAATAATGTATATGTGTTTAATCTATTTACTCAATCTCTCTGCTACTTTATTTTATTAGATTTAATTTAACTCAGCCAGGCTAGCGTTTATAATCACTTGAAAGTGACCATTTTCTATTTCTAGTTTAAAGTGAGAAACAATAGACAGACAACGACCTGTGAAACACCCCATGTTCATTTGTAGTTGAACTGTGATATAAGAGATTCATACAGATTCAACAGATGTAATTTCTTTCTATAATGTACAGGTCTCAATGCAGCCTACTGGAGATGAACCCAAGGGGTTTGGATGGGCTGACAAATTCTGTCCTCCTGGGCTGGAATACTTAACGCAAGTAGATCAACTATTAGTAAAACAAAAGGTGGAACTATTTGAAGGTATGCAGCAATTATAAGCCCATTCCGCAGCCTGTTATACCTTTGTGATGGAAGTACAGAAGTCAACCAGAAACAAAATAATAGTTTGTCTTCTGCTGAACTATGCAGATGAGGCTACCAAATGTACAGTCTCCATCAAATGGGACTTCCACATGATAATTTTTAGCCAATTATGCATTATTGTAACAAGTAAACCAATGTCATCTATATTTGCATGCAGTGTTGTACACTGTGAACGCTGTATTGAGTATGTATATTATTTTCTGTATCAATACAGTGTTCACTGGATGGGAAACAAGAAATCGTTTTGTTATTGCGAACAGTCTTGGACAGCAATGCTACTACGCAGAGGAAGGTGAGATCAAATCACACTTGTTTAACAATATTCAATTGACCCAGACTTGAAAATGATTTTTTTTATTTCATTCCAAGCACACCAATCGTGGGTGGCAATAAGTGCCTGGTAACATCTTTTGTTACATACAGATGGGGTTCTCTATCGGTGAGGCTATTTTGTGAGGTCAAATCATGTGACCTCCGTCAAATCGGCTTTTATAATTTAGTAATTCACAAATATTCAACATAATAATCTTACATTTAAGTTGATACAATACATAATGCTGTTACGATATATACTTTTGTTGTCTGATATAGCTGTATCGTTGGCCTATGTTTGCACATTCTCCTATTTCAACAGAAAGTACTGCGTGTATGCGTCAATGCTGTGGGGGCGCTAGAGGCTTCACTATGCATATATCAGACAACGCAGGACAGGTAGGGAATTGGTGTTAATGTATGTTATAGTCTTCATTGTTACACTAATTCACAGAAGGATTCTGTGTCCGAGGATGACACAAACCTCGCACATGCACATGGTGGCTCGGCGAATTCATACTTAATTCTGACCTAGTATACAATAGTAAACAAAACAGACATCATTAAGCCACCATGGATCAAATACATACACATATGTGTGACATGTGTTTGTGAAGTTAGAACACGATTGAACAATGCATGTGCGTAAGTGCACATACCTGATTAATTTTGGGTTGAGATCTGTACATATTTATTACTTAATTTGCATACTACACAGCTTCCTATCAATATAGATCTCAAGAATCACTGATCAGATTTTTAATGAAACTTAAGTGGCCTAGGTTAGGCCATATACATATTTAGTTTAAGGTTCAATTGTGTACATATTAAGTACCTAATTTGCATAACATGTAGGTGCTCCACAGTACATTGTATATATATAAGGGTATTCAGAGTTGAAACTCATGTACATTAACAGAGGTACATAACTTGGGGTTTGCAATGCGCATATAGTACTGTATGGTGACATCATGCCAAGATCTCATTCAAGTCTCATCTCGTAGATAGCGAGACTGATACTACGATCTTCTGACATGACATAGGCGGTTAGTAATAAAACAATATAACATGTATTACCACATTCATAGTGAAAAAATGTAATACATTGAAAATGTACAGAAAATATAGTTATCGTAATCCGTCATATTGTGAGCATGTATTTTGATCCACCTGGACATCCCAGTATCACATTTTTCTGAGTTGGAATGCTTGATTGAAACGGGATCTTGGTATCATGTCACCGTAGTTGCAAACCCCAAGTAATGTACCTCCGATATTTATTATCTGCTTTCTATAAATGGCATCATAAAATCTCATTAATATGCGTAGCTGTAATATATTATGCACGGTTGTAGTCAGTGACATGCTTTCGGGGCAGTATTGAGGGCACCAGACAAGAGATATAGCTCACATATCGGATGCCCATATATGGATATGTGACCTGGGACTTATTTAAATGATTTAGCATCTTAAATTGGAAACGTTATTGTACGTACATAGCAATATATGTACTATGTATGTGTGCAGTTTTTACATGGTCGGTTCAGGCATGTCCCAAATACATATGAATGTAGACAGAGGGATGCACACACAGAGAGATGAAATTATGAGTCCGGGGGGAACTAACAAGAACATTTGTAACATGAAATTGAATGGACTTCAAAAACGACAAAATGAGTTTTTTGCACTTCGTTACATACATGAATTGTTGTCAGGTTAAATTAGAATACACTGTTAGTTTGCAACCTAATTTATCTACAAAAAGAGCATTACATATATTCACTACTTTCCATAGTTTTTATGTATATTCTACTACAAAGTTATGTCAAATATCTGGTTATATAATACATCATGTTTTTGACTTTGCAGGAGGTGATGCGTTTAAACCGTGAGTTTAAGTGTTGTGCTGGTTGCTGTTGGTGTGCTAATAGTGACTGCTGTGCTTTTGAATTGAGTGTGGAAGCACCCGTTGGTAATATTGTTGGATATGTCAGACAAGCGTAAGTATATGCGTTATAACTCTCAGGAATTGTCACAATGCATTAGCTGTCATTATAGCTGGATTCAAAATTAAATTAACATACGTTGGTTAGATGCTATAAACGACAAGTGAGAGTATTTACTATCAAATATAAGACCTCTTGATGAAACATTAGCATATTTTACGGTATATATAAGAAACAGGTCTCATATGAGGTTATTAGGAGAAAACTGAAAAGTATGCACGAAGACAGTACAGCGGAAGTATTGACCGACGTGCAGCGGGGGTCGATGCGGTGGCGTACTGTCTGAGTGCATACTTTGCGATATCCTCTTAATAACCTTATTATTATCTTTTTCTCCCAAGGATACATAATGGGGATGTTGAAATCCAAAAAATTTAGAACAGATTCAGTTAACTTCTTTGTGTGGAGTCCTGTCAAACCCTGGGGCTGCCATGTTTGTTTTTATTATTAGAGGACGCTCACACGCATAATGTTCCATATTTGGAATTCACATTTCCTAATATGGAAGGATGAAAATACCCAGTGCAATACCACAAAATTACGGCAGGCTTTAACTTATGGTGTTACAGTGACAGATGTATAATAATATAATATACCCTGATTGTAATATACTCGCATATGTTTATATCTATGATTGATCATATACATCTAGTAGTTGTCACATTGTATATACATATATTGTATTTGCTCGTGATTTACAATCATTGGCAATCATTTGACATATTTTCATCACTTACGTCATGACCAACATGACAGTCAATCCGGGCTTTTGAATACTTTTAATTTATCAACATGTGTGATACAAAGTAATAGCGTATACACTTTATTTGATATCAAACATGACAGATA